TATATATATATATATATATATATATATGTATATATATATATATATATATATATATTGTTATTTATATATTCATATACGTATGTTGTTTACAAAAAACCTCGCACTAATTCTGCAACAGAAACCAGTTGAGACAATTGATATATTACCCGGCCCAGCAGCATTCTTGAGTATAGTCTGCGACCCATTCTTCACTCGTGGTTTGCCCAGTCTAGGCCCCGTTCTTCCCAAACCTTTGCCCATCAACCCATACTCTCGCAGCTCCTCATCCGTCTTCAGCAGCTCAGATTGCACCGTTCTGAGCGCTCTGGCGTACAGTTGCTCCTTCACGCAGATGTGCACCTCTCTGCCTTGATCGTCAATCACATTTGTGCCCTCGCCCACAGCGCAGCTGCAGCCCTCTCGCTCAACCAGCTGTTTGTCAGTGAGCTCGTTGAAGCCGCTGATAGAGCGTGTGTACGCATGTGAGTGTTCATATATGTGTAGGCATACGTGTTTGTGCATCTGTTTGTGTATGTGTATGTGTATGTGGATATGTATGTGTATGTGTACGTGTACGTGTATGTGTATGTGTATGTGTATGTGTATGTGTATGTGTATGTGTATGTGTATGTGTATGTGTATGTGTATGTGCATGTGTATGTGTATGTGTACAGTATGTGGATGTGGACGAATATGTGTACGTGGCTGTACACATATTCGTGCATTTACATACGCAGTGCAACGCACACACCCACACGCACGTTCACGTATCTAAAAAGCACATACGCTCAAGTCTACACAGACTAACCAACACATACACACGCGCGGGCGCACTTCAACAAGCAAGCTTATACACACGCTCCCTTCAATGCAAACGTACATACACACGCTTCCTTCAATCAAACGTCCATACACATACGCCTCGGCCACTCACCTGTCGTTCCCATCCCAGTCATCCCCCATGCGCACCTCCAAGGCAATCGCTGACGCTGACGTGAGCTCTGTATTTACAATCTGCTGCAGTGTTCGGCTGATAAGCCGTCCTGTGGGCTTGTCATGGCCCGCCAAAAGGTGCCGTTCAAAGGTTCCCCCTCCTTGGGCGTTGAAATCGGCGGTGTCTGGCAGCAGTTGAAACTTCTTGCGCAGCGCGCGGTCGTTGTTCTGTGTGTTGTAGCTGTTCTTGCGGACCATTTCCTGCGGCGTCAGGTCGATGGACGGCACCTGTTGCTTCAGCTGAGATGGGTGAGGGAATGAAAGCATTGGTCAACTAGTGTGCGTCTGAGTTGATTCCAATGCTGCCTTCGGATCGCGAGTATATGGCGAAAAGAACGGTTGATATAAGATTTTAGGGGTTTCGCGACCCCACAGTTATACTGCGTGAGTGCAGTTCACACACATATATATATATGTACTTGTACAACATGTGTGTATGGTCATATATATATATATATGCGTGTGTGTGTGTATGTGTATGTATGTACATATGTACGTATGTACGTATTTATGTATGCACGTATATATATATATATATATATATATGTATATATATATGTGTGTATATATATGTATATATATATATAGAAGTACATATACAAAGACAGCATGGTAGTTATATCAACGCACGATATGCAGACAAACCATGCAACGTCGATAATAACAAGTCCTACGCAATACGATACCGAAAAAATCATGATCAATCGGGATCCCCATATCGCCAACAATTTTTCCAGACTTTAACGGCCGAATCTACGGATAGATCAACTTCAAGTGACGTAAGACACTTGTGTGGTCATCTCTCCATGTGTGTGTGTGTGCGTGTGTGTGTGTGTAATCTCAACACAAGAAACACGGGCAACTACATGAAGATATTAATCTGCACAAAATCGTGCCTGACAGGTATATTCTTACCACGACTTTGCGCTTCCTGCCCTCTGATCTATCGCCGTTATTCGCCTCGTCGTCACCAGAGCCGGCGCCACTTCCGTTATAATGCGACGATCTGATTGGTGCATTTAATGTCGACTTAGCCCTATTGGCCGTCAGATTCTGCTGCTGCTGTGGTGCCCTGGGCTGCAACCGGGGCTGTCCCTGTCCCGCGCGCCACCACCGCTGCCCGAGGTTCGGCTCTGTACAGGTAAAGGTGGTTGACGCGGAGGTAAGCCACGTGTATTTGATGGAGACCTGGACTTCACTCTGGCAGGCAGTGCGTGTGTATATGGCCCGTGAGCACCCGCTGCCAGCGACAAACTCCCCTTTGCGCTCGAGGGTCGGGGTAGGGGTGGTGCGTGGGGATGGCTGCCAGTCTTGGGCATGGGGCTGCTGCTGCTGTGCTCGTTGTCGTTCGCTTGTGTGTCTAGGCTGTCGCGTGGTCGGCTGCCTGGTCTCCCACGGCTGTAAAGCGCATTGGCGTTGACATCGTCGGTTGACGCGTGGATGCTGGGCCCACTATTCGGCCCGTTACCCCCGCGCTGGACAATGCGCAACTTGATACGCGGTTGCGACAGTGTTTTCTGCAGACCCC